CTGCCAGTCAGCCAGACAGACAGTAAAAGATGACGACGACGAGTGTGTCGAAATGACAGTTAATATACGTGGAAGAAACAAAATGACTGATGAAACCAACAGACAAACGACACAACGTAACGCACTCTAGACGGCTTAAAATACAAGTAGTCCGACTACTAGTGGTGTGGTGTTGTGGATGGGGATGGAAAGATGGAAGGTCTACAAAAATATAGCAACAACTACAACAACATAGTAGCAAGTAACACAAAAAGTAATATGTTTTTGGGGGGACACCACCGACATTAGCCAACGTTGTTGCATGTCTGGTTGCCAAACAATGGCTAGAAGAGTATCATGGGTTTCTACTAACGTGAGTTAAGAGGTTTGTCTGTCTGTCTGCCGTCTTTCATCCATCCCATATGTTTCTACACACACACAGAGACACGGCAAAATTTGTTATTGGGTTTCTGTCGGCCATTGTTTTGAATTAGTTTTCAAGTCCTAAAATGTGCCGTCTCCTCTCTTTCATTTTTCTTTTTTTTTCAATTATTAAGTCATAATTATGATTGTATTTTACGAAAAAGGGGAGGTTAATTTTATCAACAAAAAGATGAATTCTGTTGATAATTTTGAGAAAATAGCTGGGAAGTTAGGTAGAGACATGCTGTGGCATGGAAGGGTAGTGTGGAAATAATGGATGGTATGAAAGAAAAAATGTGAATAGTTTTTATCTGAAAAGAGGGTAATAAAATTTGGTACTGAATTTTTAAAGGTAATTCTATAATAAAGGGTGATTTTTTGCTATTATCTTTTTGGCAAGATGGGTTTAAACAGCTCACACATTTTCGTGTTTTGTTTCACTGTCAAAAATCTCAAGTTTGGTCTATAATTTAACAATGAATCGTCTTAGAAATTATCCCGGCTTGCAAACCATGGAAGTTATTATCAAAAGCGACGAAGTTAATTTATTGCTTCAATGGGCACGTAAATACATAGAATTGTCAATTTTGAAGTAAGGGTCAGACAGAAGCACTGTAAACAGGTACCAATGCATACAAAAATGTCACCGTACGGTTTATATTATATTTTTTTTTTTTTTTTTTTTTGCCTAAAATGCATGAGATTGACTTTCATGATATGATGGTGGCACATGCCACAGACCACGCGTAACTATGGACTTATTAAGAGGCGAGTCCGATGAACATATTTTTTGACGTTCGGGACCGGTCAGTAGGAAGCGATTTAAATATTGAGACTATCTTTGGTGGGGCTATGTTTAAGCTCATGTCTATGCAGTCGAGCTCGATTCAAATTGACACTTTGGAAGACAACATTGAAGCATTTATTCTTGAGAAATGTTGCCAAAATTGGCTAAGTGGTTGGACAGGATTTAAGGCACAGTCGCGTTCAACATTTGCATAAAATAACCGACAAACATGAAACTATATGGACGATTTTTTCAATTCAAATAAATATGCCATTTCCTGATTGTTTGTTTTCTTTTGGAAAACTTTCTTATAAAAACCCCTTCAAAATTTACGTAGATACGTATACCAAACTTAACTCTTAAGTACTTTCTTTATTACCATGAGGTTGAAAGCAAAATAACTCGCATTTCTAATTACGAAGTACTGAGTGACGTCGGCACATAGTGTGGGAAATATTTTCTGGGACGAAATGTTTTCATTCAAAGTTGAAAATATTTTAGGTTAAGATTATATCAAAAACTGGATCCACTTTGATATTTTTGAAGAGAGAACTTAAACATCAGAATTCTGTTAAATATCTGTTGCATAACTCTTTGCAAGTTGACTCAATTATATTGGAAGGTTCTTCAATATCCGAAGTACAATTTTCAATCCCACCTAAGATTTAAACACTGATCATGAAGATCCTTAAGACATATCTGAAGGGTGCATTCAATTCATCCATACCTTTAAAAAAAAAACCTGTCAGACTCTACTTGGCATAGAAGGCTAGTAGGCAGGCATTTTTTAGGCATATGGAGGTTATAGCGGCACACGTTTTCGTATAGTTTAATTTTACGTGTTTTAAAGTTTTTAGCATTTTTTTAACAAAGTTGTCTGAAGGTGTTGTTATTTATTGGTATTTAAACTTTTTGTTACTTATTGCTGTAAAAGTTTAAATCTTATTTTACGAAAGAAGACATTTCAGAAACTTACATGGTAAATAACCACCTTGAAAAAAAAAAAAGAAAAACATAAGTTCGGCCGATCTTTTAGTACCCTCAACTATTTGTAAGGAACTTGAAAAACTTTAAAAAATGCGGTCTAAATGAAAGGAAAACTGACTATACGAATTCCGGTGAACATTGTCCCTCATATCATCAAAACCGAATACCGGAGGTATCGTTCTATGGGGGCTATAGGAAGACGTAGACCTGCATACGTAAATATATGGCATATGAGGTAGCACCCCTTAAGATCTTCCAATATAAAATTTGAGACAATTCCGGTCTATAATGTCGCTAAAAACATCAAAATATCGAATATTGAGGAATACAACTATATGGAGGCTACACGAAAACGTGGACCGACATGGCCCATTTACAAACTTAACCTGCATACTGGCAAGATACACACGTGTGCAAAAGTTTAACCTTCTATCTCAATTCGTTCGGAAAATAGCGTGATTACAACAGACGGACGGACAGACAAATATGCAGCCAGAGAGATGATACATATACCTTGTTGGGTGTGACATAAGTATTTCGAGGAGATACATACGGAATGACAAAGTTAATATACGATCCATAATACGGTGGAGGGTATAAAAAAGGTCAATATAAGCACTACCAGTGATGAATGGACGAAATATAACTCCAGGTGTTTAAAAGATATGTTTTCCATAACAAATTAAAATGTCAAATTTCAAGGAAACATTAGAACCCATTATGACCCACAAATACCAATTTTTAGACATATTCGTGGGAAAATGTGGCAAAAATCACCAAAATTCCGAATATCAGGAGGTACCGCTACATGGGACTATACAAAAACGTGAACCTATACATACAATGTTCTGTCACACGAACGAGAACCCATTATGGCCTACAAATACCAATTTTCAGACAAATCCGTGAAAAAATGTGGCTAAAATCTAAATACTGAATATCGGGAGGTACCGTTATATGGGGAGAATACCAAAACGTGGACCGATATATCTTATTTTCAATACCAACCATCCTAGGCACAATACAAATTGTTCTGCTAAATTTTGACGCTCTACGTCAAATTATGCGAGCTGTATCGTGATTTCAACAGACAGAGGAAAGAAATCGACTTCGAATTTTATGCTGATTATGTATATACTTTATGGGGTCTATGACGAATATTTAGGGATGTATAATAATTGTTTATTGACTTTTCTCGCCAGACTATCGTTTTACTGACGTTTTGAGTAAATTTTAGGGAAAATAGATTATGAAACAATTTTTGGGTTGTCACTACCCATAATTACAACAACCTGTCCGTCTATGTGTTAAAATCACGGCTAATAAAGATAGAGATTACAAGACATCAACACTAGCGTGCAGTCTTGACCGTCTATGATTATACCCAGGATGTTTGGTATAGAAAATGAACTGCATCGGTTCATATTTCGGTATAGCCACCATTGGAACGGTACACACAATGTTTACCAAATTTTGGAAGGTTTCTGATCCATTCTCCAACCTGATAAAATTTGATATTTCGTGTAATTTGGAAAAAAAATACTCCTCACTAATAAAATTAAACATGTTGGTGTAATTTGCGGAATATTGATGGTTTTGATCCCCATTTTAAACCTTTTTAGATTCGCAATGGATATTTTAACCCCTCACGAAAATATTCTATGTAAATCCACTTTTTTGGTATCGCCCCCAATACTTGAGTTATTTCTGTTGTTTTGAAAGTTTTGGCCATAATTTCTAACGAAATCAGCTGTAATGTGGAACTCCGTTCCTAGTATTTTGAATATCATCCATTTTCTCTTATTCTCTTAATATTGACTTAGGCGATAGACAGAAAAGTTATTTACCGAGCTCTATGAATTTACTGCATTTCAAAACATTTAGGTAAAAGTGGAAATTTAATAAATTTTTTTATCCATCTAACATTTTTTATTTAATTTTTTTCAGACATTTTGGTGGTAGGAACTTTTCAACATTTAACGGAACACCATATAATACACCCACGTATTTCCATTTTTATAATTTTCTCTCTGTTAATATAATAATCTATTAAAATATTGATAAAATGCCAAATACACCATCAACAAATAATATTCAATAATATCCACTACTCCCTGTTTCATTTCTCATCCAACAAAATTTAATCCCTCAACTAAAATTCTTACCAAATGCAACTCTGTTTGGCACTTTTTTGTGTGGTAAATTCAATGTTTTGACTGCAGATGATGAGAAAAACAACAACTGTTTATACGAGAGAGAGAGAGAGAAGAGAGTTCGTTGGTTTTAATTTTTGTTTTTTAATGCTGTCAAAAACACATTGAGCAATGTTGCAATAACAGAGTAGATGGGACAGAGAGCGAAAATGAAAGGTAAAGTAAAATAACAAAGCATGAGAAAAGGGAGGGAAAATGAAAACAAAATACACAAAAAGACAGATATAAAAAATACACGGTATGAATGTGTGTATGTGCTGTTGGTTGTACAAGGAGAATAAAAGTAAAAAAAAGAAGAGAGTTAAAAGCAAAAAATACTACAGAAAACGATTGTTTTCTTTTATTATTTCTTAAAGGAGAAGAAGAAGACGCATACACGGGGTATAAAAGAAAACAAAAAAATGTGAAATTTTTAAGATCAGCTGTGTGTCATTAATTATGAAAAAAGAAACGACAACACTACCAACAACTGTAAACTAATTGAAAAGAAATGCTACAAAATTATGTTAATTATTGAGATTTTTCGATGGATTTGGGGTTTTTTTACTAAAGAGAAAATAAAAGATAAAAAAAGGAAATAAAGTAAAAATAATATGAAATAAAAAAAATACCTTCTTGAATAAAATTTTAAAGCATGACGATCCATCGTTTAAAATAAAATCGGATTTAAACGAAATGAAATTATCAAAGCATGCAACATCATCATCATCCTCATAGTTTCTTCGTTCTTTTGCTGTTATTTTCTGCCTATTTTATGGAGTTGAGATGAAATTGTTTTGAAACACACAGAAAAAAGTTCACAAAACTTTACGCCAGGCAGGCAGACGACGGCAACGCACTTTAAAAAACAATTTTTGGCAACAACAAAAATGCAGATATCTGCAAAGTGCGAGAGATGGAGAGAGAGCGTAACACACAATTTTCTCTCCTTGGTGGTAATGTCAAAATCGTGTTGGTGTTGTTGCTTGCAATGGTGGTGGTTGTAACCAAAAATGAAATGAAAATTTATTCCAAGTATTGGGTGGTGGTGTTGGTGGAATTGATTGATTTCTGCTTTTGTTGTTTTTTAATTAAGTTTTTTTTTTCCAAAAATAAGAAAAATTAACAAAAACTTAAAATGTGTTTTTTAATTTTTCTGCACCTTTTCCAAAATTTTCATTGAACTGGCTTCCGCTTGCATTTGCTGATGTTGGGGGCTTAATTTCTTTCGAGGTGGTTTTGCTGGCTCGCGGCGTGTTGAAGGAGACTTGGTTGGCGGCAGCGACAACAATGACTGCTGCACTTATGTAAACTCATTAAAGATGCACTTTAGTAATTTCCAATCCAACTTTTCATTTTCTTTTATTACTTTAAATTGGTTAACTGTCACAATTTCTTTTAGATTTATCTTTTTTTGGAAATTTCATTTATTTTATTCCACAATACATTCTTTCTTTTCCAAACGCAGCCACAAATTTCACTCTCTTTTGTTCATTATTTTTCTTCTTCTTTTCATTATTATTCTTGCTGCTGCTACTCATTCACATACACACACACAAATAATTTTTATTTCATTTCAAATAAATCCAAGCGCTTTTCAAGGCAGAAGAAACCAGCGAAACAACCGAACTCGTAGAAAATCAAACACGTACTAAACGGCAACTCTATAATACAGCAAATCAGCTACGAAGGCAAAGGCAAACACACACGCACACACAAACATCCAACAATTTATCAAACAGACAGGCAGCCATCCAGGCAAGCAGGCAGGCATGCATTATTGTTTCCCTCATATCAAACTGGTTTTTCTACTCTCTCTCCCTCGTAAGGCATAGATGGGGCACTGTTATTTTTGTGTATACCACAGTCGGGCCAGTCATTGAGAGAAGAGAACAACAATTAACTCACACCATCTCTTTTGCACACATGCAGGGTTAAGCAACCGAGGTATTCATTATGAACTCTCACTCTCTTCCGCTCACCCTTCTCTCACACAGAAACCAACATACATATCTTACGCGCGCACTCTTACTCATACTAATAACCATTTTTTCGTTATTGCTTTGGGGTGATTATTACGATACGTTGGGAATTAAAAATAACAACCTCTGCCTGCCTGTGTATGTTTGTCTGTCTGTTCAACCATGCATCCATCTGTTTTTTTTCATTTGGTTTTGTTATCGCACTAATGGTGGTGGTTGACATTGTAGTCATAGTAGTGGTGGTGGTGGTGGAAGTTGTTTGTTTTTTTTCTTTCATTTCTTTTTTTTTTTCGGCCAAACACACAATGGTGGGTTAGGAGTAGTTGTGTTAGTAGTGGTGGTGGTGATGTCGGCTTAATAGAGCCGTATGTAGGTAGTTTTTGTTGAAACGAAACAAAAAAAATACCATAAACGTTGTTGTTGTGTGTTCACATTTTAGCATAGCAGCTGTCGCGCGCAGCAACATCTTAGCAACCACATTTTTTCAACGTTGAGACGTTGCCAGACGACTCACAAGCACACGCACACACGAGTCGCTTTGTTCATTCCAATTGTTGTTGGATTTCTCTTGAAGTTCTCTGCCTTCACTTTCCCCCCACCCAAAACCCAGCAATGGGTATCATTTTTTTCCTGTTTAGTCATCATCTTTCGTTTCGTTTGATTTTCATATTGTTGGCGATAGCGTTGCTTTCATCTTTTATTTTATAATCATTGTTATTGGCATTGCTGTTGTTGTTGCCGTCGTTTTTTTTTGTTATTACACTGGTAGTGGTGTGTATCTGTGTGTGTATACTTCATTACTTATTTTTGGCTTGACTTGTTGTGTTGTTGCTGGGTTAGTTCTGTTTTTTTGCCTCTTCTGTGTGCTTGATTTTAACATGCGCACAACATTCAATTGAGATATTGTTATCGCTCGTCGTTCGTTCGTTTGATTGTTTGTTTGTCATGCATGGTGATCCAACATTTAGGTTGTTTGTTGTTGCTGCTTTACCATTAATATGCCACTCATCCATCCATCCATTCATTTAGTCAATCTTTGGGTGTTTTTGTTTTTTTCTGGAATTGAATTAAAAAATGATAGCCAGCCACTCATGGTTGAATAAATGGCATGGCTGCATTCAACTCATTTTCCAATTTGTTGGATACATTTTTTCAATGGCCTTCTGTTCTGCCACCACATTAAATATAGATTTGGCATGGGCGGCGAACCCATGTGATTATGGACATTTTTGCCTTTTATTAACAAATGGCTATGAATGTTGTTGATATAGAAATTGCTGGAACTCATTCTAGGAGGGGAAATGTCAGCGGAAGGGGTTTACTATAAAATGATAATGCTTTGAAGGTAAGTATATAGGTTTCTGAAAATTATAGGTAGGTACCTACCTACCCAGTACGTGGTAAACTGTATACCACATTTTGAACCCAGGAGATTCATATTGTCATTCCATTGCCTATACCCTAAATAAATCCTAATAAAGGAACTTAACCTGGCAAAAAGCTCTAATGTTAACATACTATTATATGAAGAACCTAATATTCAATACATATAAGCTTCATAAAGCCTATAGAAAACTTAATTTACTTAAGATATACAATATATGTTTCATGTTATGAATCTATTGGTATTGACCTTCGCCAGGAATAACAATACTGAATCGATGCGATGATATAAGGACACAATAGATATCATAGATTAATAAAAGAAGAAATCGTCCGCTCTCTACATTTTATACCAGATCTTTTGTTGATTGATATATTGAGATGTGCCAAGTCTAAATAAAATCGAATGTTAATTTCGTGTTTCACAAGAGTTATAATTATGCAAAATTTTGGTCCTTGTGGGGGAGGTACTAGAAGGAGTGGACCGATATATCCCCTTTTCACAGCAGATCTCGCGTTAGTGGAAATAATGATGTGTGAAATATGAAGAGAACCGGACGCTTTTTTCGCATTATATAATCGTTTTGGTTATTCAAAACTTTGATGCTTTGCGGGGGAGGTAACAGAAGGTATAGTCCGGTCTTTACCAACTTTATAACAGATCTTGTAGTGATGGAAATATTGAGATGTACCAAGTCTGAATGGAATCGAATGTTAATTTCGCGTTTTATGAGCTTCATGGATATTTGAAATTATGACCCTTTATGGGGGAGGTACTTGATGGAGGATATTGTCCATTTTCGCACCTGACTTAGTACTGGTAAAAATATTAAGATTTGCAAATTAGAAGCATAATCGGATTATCCATTCTCTGTGCAGTAAAATATATATATTTTTTTGGAAATTTCGACCTTTTGTGTGGGAGGTACCAGAAGGGGGGGGGGGGGGTGTGATAGCGCCCATCTCCGAACTCGATCTAAGTTTGATAATAATATTCTGATGTAACAAGTTTACACCAAATCGGATACTCTCTTCGACAGTTATCGTGCGCACCAGCCAGACAGACGGACGAACGGACCAAATTTCCTGAAGCAATATGACTGAGGGTATAATGATTCATATTAATCTGATGCTCTCTCCGATAAATAAGGACATAGAAACCCTACAAGAAAAAGGGACTGTCCCCTCTGGGTATATTTCCATGCATGCTCATGTGCTCCAAGAACTCCGATGTATCCTTGTCAATGAAATTCGAGTAAAACTTGATCTCCATGGACTTGAATTGGTGAGTTATCTGGAATTGAGACATGAAGTACTAAATAGTACCAAATTTAGTATTGGACAAAGGAACATATCTGAAATTTAACATAGATGTCACTGTCGGTGTCTGTGCAAGATATGGATTTGTTTTTGGAAATGTCTACTATAATTGCTCGAAAAGTACTAAGTGGTACTAAATTTGGTCTTGGTGGAAGGGATAGGGATACAATTCTGAAATTTGATATTTGGATAAATGTTAGAATCTGGAATTGAGATATGTACGAACAGAATTGAATGCAGCTAAATTTGATATTGGGTGAAGGGATAGAGATGAAATGCCAACATTTTTTTATTTAAGAATCTACTAATTTTGCATTTTTTTTCGATATCATAAAGCAATTAGGAATTAGGATTACTGTGGGAGTAGAGGATCGGGTTATGAAGGAATTTTTGGAAAATTGTACCTATTTGTACTAAATTGAGCTATATTTGGGTGAACAGATGGTGCTTGCTGTTCATATGTAGCCTGGACATATGGAGTTGTTTTTTTTTTGAAATGTGTACTATAACTGTACAAAAAGTACTGAATGGTACTATATTTGGTATTGGGTCAAGAGATTAAAATAAAATTCTAAATTTTGATATACGAATTGTTGATGGTTTATTCAGAGATTTGGCGGTGGTTTGGAAATGCGTCCTATATTTGTACGAAAAGTACTAAATAGTACTAAATTTTTATATTGGGTGAAGAGATAATATTGATAAGATATTGAGTTCTCTGTTGGTAATTGGAAATGAGATATGAAGGTGGTTTTGGAAATGTGTACTATAATTGAACAGAAATTACTAAATTTGGTACCGGGCAAAGGGACAAAGCTTAAATCCTGAAATTTAATATAGATGTCATTGTGGTGGCTGTCATTAAGATATGAATGTGATTTCGGAAAAAGATACTATAATTGTTCAAAAAGTACTAAGTGGTACTAAATCTGGTCTTGATTGAAGGGGAAGAAATAAAATTCCGAAATTTGTTATTTGGATAATTGTATCTAGAATTGAGATCTGTGCTGAACTGTACCAAAAGAACTGAATGCTACTAAGTAGCATATAACATAAAGCGATATACTACTAAAGGGATGAAGGGATAGAGCTAAAAATCCAAAATTTTATATTGACGAAACTGCTGGTGTCTAGGACTAAAATATGGAAGGGTTTTGTAAATAAGTACTAAAATTATACGAAAAATACTAAATGTTACTTTGTTTGGTATTGTTTGAAGTGATAGAGCTGAAATCCTGAAAATTGATATTGAGGTCACTATTGGTTTCTAGGGTTTAGATATGGATATAGTTGATATAGTTTTGAAATGAACGTGGATCCATTGCGCAGTAGTTTTACTAATATCCTCCTGGGTAAACTTAATAATGAAAGATTTTGGATTTGGAAAATGAATAACTTGAAAAATATATAAAACTTTGAAAATCTGAAAATTTAGTAAGATGTATGAAATTTTTATAAAAAAACATGAAAA